TGTTAAATGTTAAATGTTAAAATTCGCAGTGTGAAGAACTCAAAACTGAAATTGAACAGTTGAAGTCCACGAGTCAGCCGGCAGGAGCAGATGTTTCAACTTCAAGCAATGCTGAGGAATCCGTCAGTTGTGTGGACGGGGAAAGCCTCAAACTTCGTTCTCTTCGAGTCAATGTAGGACAGCTGCTAGCTATGATTGTGCCTGATCTGGATCTTCAGCAAGTCAACTATGACGTTGATGTGGTGGATGAGATTCTAGGACAGGTGGTGGAGCAGATGAGTGAGATCAGCAGTGCTTAAGGTGCAGACATGCGGTGCAGCCTTCATGATGGCAAGTTCGGTTGAACAGGCAGCAGACTGAAGGACCGCGTCTTCACTGTGTTCTATGCATCCAGTGTCACAGCTCCTGTGGACACACTTTGGAAATAACCTGTGACTGGCTGGTATCGAGCAACTTAGTAGCTACCCTAGCTTCTGTTCTGAATGTAAATATTTGTATTGAGCCCACACGTATTTTTTTATTGCCCTAGAGACTGGTGTTTTTCACCAGGAGGTTTTCAGGTTGTTCCTACGGTTTGTGCAATTTTTCTGGCTCCCTAAAATGTATTTTTCTCAAAGTTGAGGGCTGTGCCATAATGTAAATGGATATGTTGCTACTGTTGTTTCTTTTCAATGAGCATAAGTAAGATTCTCAATAATGTAGTGACCCTCCTGATGAGGACTGCTTGCAAGGAGCCGAGGCTAGTGCTTTTCTCTGTCAACTCCTGTCGGAGATCATCCTGCATAGAGGAGACAGGAAAGCCAAAGCTAGCTTCATTTCGCCTGGCTTTTTCTTGTGCTGAGATTGCTAGTCATCAAGTCAAATGTTTTCCAGGACAACGAAAAGATCTTTGAAGTATTAAAAATATCCAGCGACAACCATGTTTACTTAGAAGCCCATTTTTGGCTGTTGATTCAGCATGAAGTGGGCACAATAATTATTTGAGATTTCTTTTTGTGAAATTTCCTGTATAGCCTCTGTAGGGTTACTGCAGGTCAACGTGAGCTGAGAGGGCGGTCTTTCTCACACAGTACTGCATATCTTCTACGATACTATGAATGTACGTGTTTTTATCCTGGAGTTAATCACAAACGGGCCTGCGATTACAGAGTCACATGCCGGAAAATATGCTTTTACTGGTCCCAAGTTTTGTGCAATCTGAAAAGAGGAGATGGCCTTTTATTACATATGAACTGTATATAATTAAGAATCATATTTTCCACAACTAAAATGTGTTATTTTTTCCAAAGTTTTATTGTTGCTATTTATTTTAACTTTTGTTTCTGAAAATTCAGTACATATTCATTTTGTGTGTGTGGTTAGTTACACATCTGTTGTATACAACATTGAGTCTTTATGTATATTACCTTCTGGAAATTGCAAATAAATGAAGTTTTTGTTTTTATTTACTTGATAAAGGTGATAGTTATTTTTGGTGTCAAGCTGATTTTCTCTTTAATACATGCTAAGTGTATGTAATGACAGATCCTCACATGCTTTTGAAGAATCAGTGTTAATTCAGATATTTAAGCACATACCCACTGGGCCCTCAGTTGACATTGTGTACTGTATTAATTATAAGCTATGCTCTTAGGAGATTTTCCCTTCTGTGAGGTCAGGCTCATTGCTCTCGAGGGTAAGAGTTGTGTGCTCAGGAAGACTCTCACGGTCCTAGGGGTGAATCTGAAGCCCTGTACTCTTCTTACTGAGCCACGTTCCCAGCCCAAAATGAAAGCTTGTGTGTAAACCATTCATCTTGCCTGAGTGACAGCACCTGTGTAGGTCATAGAAGTTTTGTGAATGTTTGAGGTGGGTACAAGGGGTCTTGGAAGATGCCATCTTTCTTTTGGTTGGTTACACCCCTGAAAATGTATTTTATATGACTATGATGTGACTTCATGAGAAATCAATCATAGGCTTCCTAAAATAATTTGCTTATAAAACTGATTCTTTGAATTGTTTTCATATCTTCCACCCTTTAGCAAAAGAGGTTGAAAGGTGGAGATAAAGAGAAATGCATGGGCTTCACTGGTGCACAGGATTAGATGAGCGATCTTCCTGTTCTGATGCACAATCTAAAACAAACTGTAAGCAAGGCAGCCAGAGCGATATAGAGTCTCTCACAAGCAGAACCCGCTTTAGTCAGCTAAGGCTGCAGGCAGAGAGAAAGTTGAGATCACAGAATAGGAGTGGTGTGCACATCCCCGTGTCCCTGGGTTGGACTCCAGACCCCTTCTGTGCCTGCTTCCTCTGTGACACTGCCCATCATCTCAGATGTTTTGATTTTCACACTTCTGTCCGTGAACGCTCCAGGCCTGTTGATGGCTGACACTGACACAAGGTTGTCATGCGTGAAGTTCACACACAAGAACCGTACAGTTGAGTAGCCAAAGGAGCAGTGTTACAGCAAAAGTCTTGTGCTGCCTGTGTTTATAGCTGTTACAGCTTTGTCGGACAGTTTTCTCTCCGGGTCTGCCAAGCCCCAGCAGTCCAACAGCCCACTAATAAAATAAACATACAGACGCTTATATTACTTACAAACTGTATGGCCGTGGCAGGCTTCTTGCTGTTTTTATAGCTTAAATTAATCCATTTCCATAAATCTATACCTTGCCACGTGGCTCATGGCTTACTGGCATCTTCACATGCTTCTTGTCATGGTGGTGGCTGGCAGTGTCTCCCTCTGTCTTCCTGTTCCCTCCTTTCTCCTCTCTGTTAGTCCTGCCTATACTTCCTGCCTAGCCACTGGCCAATCAGTGTTTTATTTATTGAGCAATCAGAGCATTTGACATACAGATCATCCGACAGCACCCAATAACAGGTTTTTTTGTTTGTTTTTGTTGTATGACCTAGAACTCGTAGGCCAGTCTGGTTTAGGACCCGTGGTAGGGAGCCTACCTGCCTCTGCCTCCCAAGTATTGGGATTATAGGTGTGTGCTACTAGGCCAGCAATAAACACATTTTTTTAAAAACACTTGCCCAGTTAATTCCAGCTGCCGCTGGTGATGAGCCCATATTCTGTAGCTCATGGATGGGTATCCACAAGCACTGTACTCAAGGAGTTTGTGAATTGAACAATCAACAAGCAAGAAAAGAGAGTGAGTCATACTCCAGTGGGAAGTGTGGAGACTGCCTCCCCATGGTCTGAAGCCATACTCCTTTGAGTATGGCCTTCCAGAAATAGCTGCATACATAGAAACATTCATATACTTACTGAATTTATGTCCCAACTTACAGTGGTACTTAGCAAGATGTTGGTAATATTTCAGCATCACTTCTTGAGAAAGGTTCAAGACAGGCCGAATTGCACTACTGACAGCCAGGGATCTTAGCAGCATTCTCTGAGAGGAATGTGCTCCAAGTCTTCATTTGTGGTTTTCTTTTGCTGTGTAGGAGTTGGAAACAGGGCCATGCATATGTTGTTTGTCTTTTAATATGTCAAAAATACCATGCAAATGAATAAATACCAAATTACCTTTTCAAATATATCTGGAGTGTAAGTTCTTCGCAGGACATATTGATAAGGTTGGAGAATGTACATTTTACTGTTTATCAAAGAAATGTGCAGGGATTTATATTCCTTTGTGCAGTTAAGTATATGAGTTGTTCCCCTTCTCCCCCCAAAAATCTGTACATCATACTGATTTTCAGTGATTTGACATGTATAAAAACAGGACAGTTGCACTTTGTCTTAGGTTGAAAGTGTTGACCTTTTTCTCTGCCTGCTCTTTCATGTTTTGCCGCTGTAATGAATCTAAAAGCTTGTACTGATGTATCCATAAACACTAATAACATCCAGACAGCTATATCAGAAAACACTAGTTACTTTATTTCATGCATGGATTCACTTAAGAGAGTCTCGGATTCCTAGATCCTGAAATTGTCCTTTGGACACTGAACCACAGGTCCCCAAAACCATGAATGTCAGCTTAGTGGAAAAGAAAGTGTAACCATGGCTATTGCTTCTCAGAATTCAGGTTCTTGGTTACAATGTTAATTTTAGGGCTCTGGAAAGGAACTATTGCACAGTCAATGGACTGCGGGTGCAGCCACCACTAAACAGTAAACCAAGATCTTTTGTAACGTTGATAATTAAGGAAGACTATAAAATAGAAAACTTGTAGGTGATACTAGGGGGTTGGTTGTCACTTATGATTTCTATTGCTGTGAAGAGACACCATAACCCCAGCAACTCTTATAAAGGAAAGCATTTCATTGGGACTAGTTTACAATTCAGAGGTTTAGTCCATTATGGCAGGAAACATGGCATCATGCAGGCAGACGTGGAGCTGGAGAGATAGCGGAGAGTTCTACATCTTGATCTGCAGGCAGCAGAAGGAGACAGTGAGCCACCCTGGGCATAGCTTGAGCATCTGAGACCTCACAGCCCTCCACAGTGACACACTTCCTCCAACAAGGCCACACCTCCTAATAGTGCCACTCCCTATGGGCCAAGCGTTCAAACACAGGAGTCT